GAGTGGTTCTAAACTTGTAATCCTCCTAGCTTTCAGGAACCTGTGGATACTCCACAACTAAGTACAGCATTGTTATTAACTTTGGTACAAACCCAGAACTTTCGAAAAAGAAAAAGAAAAAAGAACATTTACAGTCCTCAGGGTTGACAGTCACTGATTTGTGCCAATTTTTACAGATGAGGAAAATAATGGGCCAGATGGGGAGAAGAAAATCACCCCCAAAGTGAGCAGAGCTGGGCTAGACCCCTGGCCCCTGGCCTTCTAACCCTGTCCCACAGCTCACCTGGCCTCCCTCCCCAACCACACCACCACAGGAGGTCCTCTGTAGTCACTTGCAAGCTGCACATTTTAAGGTATTTCAGAGATAAGAAAGCAAAATATAGCAAACGAGAGGACAACTGCAATAGAAAGTGAAAGAATCAATCATGTGACCCTTCCATGCGAGCTCACCAACAGACACTCCTGCCTCTCCACTCCCTGGAGAACACCCCAGGTAGCTCTCCTCACCAGGCTGGGAGCGAAGGGGTATGGGTGACCGTCAGAACCAGGACGCCAGGTGGCACCTCCAGGGATTTAAACTGCCCTTCCTCCACCTGCCTGCCCGCAGCTCAAGATCTCAGGCAGAGTCAAGAGAAATAATGTGCCTTCTTCCCTGTCTCCAGGGGGAGGTTTAGGGGCCCGGGGCAAGGACGGTAGGGCACACTCACCAGGAGGCAAGTGAGGGCACAGGGCCGCAGGCTGCCTGGCGAAGGGCGCAGTGAGGCCAGCCTGTCCATGGTGCTGCTGCTGTATCTTAGTGGCAAACTGCAGCTTCAGGCTGAGTGACCAGCCAGTAGGCGGGCACTGAGGGCCTAACTGTCCTCTCCAACCACCTGCTGCCAGCCCCACTGGCCGGCCTGGCCCCACCCAGCTGTGCTTGAAAAGGGGAAGAGGGGTTGGGGGGAGGGGAGAGACATAGGGAAGAATTTTCACGAAGGCAGCCCTCGTCCCCAGAAATATCCAACCCAAGCACCACACGGAGAGGGGACCAACTCCACTTTAAGGAGGTCCAGCTCCCCAACATACACAGTGAAGCACACACAGGCCTTCGTCCCCCAGACCACCCCTTCTCCCAGAACCTCCTGACTAATCTTCTTTGGCTTAAAACACTTGTCAGCCTGCGCTCCCTGGGAAGTCATTCATCTTTCTAGGCCAGCTGTTCTGTGTCTTTCCCAGAGCGAATTCCAGTCCTGCTCCCCTCATGCACTCTGTACACACTCACACTGCAGCATTTGACACCATCTCCAGGGAGCAGCAAAGAAACAAGACATGCAGCAGCTAACGACTGCCTTTGAGAAGGCAGAGCCTTGTGTTGTGAAGGTTCCTGGTTCTTTGAGGCAGCTGTCTAATGTGAAATATCCTCATTTTTAAATGATGCCATTCTGGGGCAGGGGAAGTGACTGAGTGCACAAGGCAAGAGCAAACTTTTTTTAAGTTATGCCAACTATTCTATAGTAATGAATTTCACACTTAAATTTGTAAACTGTATTGCACATAGTAGCAGTTTACACAAAGCAGGAACGTGGGGATGCTGAAAACCAACTCAAATGGTTTCAGACAGGGCTGACCAAACAACACACACACTTCGGTCAACTCTAGCCTGTGGTTACCAGTTCACGGCCCCTGGGTTTATTTTCATTGCCTGTTTATCTTTGTGCCTCCTTCTTGGGACTGTAAATGTTTAAGTGCCTGACACATTGCCTAGCAGTCTCACAAAGCAGCTCACAAATCAGGCCCCAGCCCTGACATGTACATAGTTAATTGTGCTGCTCGGGAAAATTACTTAGCCCTTGTGAGCTTGGGGGTGGAGGAGGTGGTGAAGTGGAAAAGAGAGTGCTAATACCACCTTCATGGGGCTAAGTGACCATGAGCAGAGGAAGGGTGTGAAGAGTGCTTTTTAACATTAGACCACGCCAGCATTTCGAGCGCAAGTAGTTTCATTCCAAACACCAAGGTTAACTCAACATCTCCATTTGTCATTGAAGAACTTAGTAGAGGAAAAATAAGGCTAAAGAAAATGAGGCTGAGTGGTCCCAAGAAAGCCTTTATATTCAAAGTCCACTAAAATAGGGCAGTGCTCTTTTATACCTATTACATAATTAAGAAAGCCACTGTTAATGACTATTTACCTTAGATCCTGAGTCTCCTGAGATGATGTCCCCAAGTTTAGCACAGTAGCACAAGACCCTATAACTTATTCTCAGTGTTTGTTGAGTGGCTCAATGATCTGAATGTGTGATTCTAAGGACAGTCTCAATGAAGAATGGTGTTGACGGTAAAGGACGGATGGCAAGAAATGAACTGCTATTTGGAAGAAAACGCCTCTGGGTTCTCCTTCGTTTAACTCAGGCGCCTCTACTCTCTCCAGATTCCAATTCTGCATTTATGGCTTTGGCAGCCCCTTCAGATTCCACTGCTTGCAGGCCCAGGCTCTTCTTTTACAGATTTCTTGTCCTCCTTTCTCTCCACCTTCTCTTGCTCTCAGATTCTGGCTCAGATGTCTATTCATTTCCTTTAGCCGCCTTATTCTTTATTGTTTGTGTCTTCCTCCTCTCTTCAACTCCTTTGCTTTATTTTGAAGGTTCTTCTCTACCTCCTTTATAGATATACAACATCTTATCAAAATATTTTTAAGAGTCAAACTTCCATCAGGAAAAGTTCCACATCAATATCAGTGAGAAGTGAAGGCTGAGGTCCCAAATAAGGTGGCATTTGTTTTCCTTTGACTCATCTTTACCGCTGCTCATGGGGTCTTGTCCTCTCCCTCATCTAGAGGATACCTGACTCTCCACAAAGCCAAAGCTTTTAACTTGAGTAGCCCATTCACTTCACTTTCATGGCTATCAATAAATATAAACCCCACCCTTTTTGCAGACTCTATGCCTTTTCAACTTTATTAGGAAAACAGAATCATGCACAAGGTCCTCCAGTTTCCACCAGGCTGTATTAAGAACAGCTGACTTTACATTACCCACTGCCTCTGTTATTACTATCCAAACATTGGTGCCATGTTTCTTTCAAGGAAAAGCAAGGTGGTCAAATATATGATCCACAGGCTACAGATATTACCTTCCAGAGGGAGAAACACCTTATTAACACGAGGGTAAGCAAATCTTGTCCAACATTAGCAACACTCTGAATTCAAGATTTTTTTTCTGTTCATAACTCTGAACTTGATGGCTAAACCAATCCAAAATGAGTGCAGTGCTTTAAGATACTTTGGCTTGATCACCAAAAAGGCAGGAAAATGTTTTTCGTCTTTTTCCAAGACAAATGGGACTGGTGTCTTTAGAAAGTGGCCATGGAGACCCTCCCTGGGGGTGCAATGGGTTGGGACGCAGCACTGCAAGCTAGCAGCAGCTGCTTCAGTGCCAGTTCGATCCCTGGCCCTGGAGGTGACCCACATGGCAGAGCAGATCTCTCCTGTCTCGGCTGCTGCTCCCCTCAGCAGTGTACTTCCTAGATCTGCCTACTCTGCTTCCCACTCTGTCTCCAGTGAATCCTCTCACCTCCCCTCCACCTCTGGCTTATACCCAATTCTGTATGCATAAATAAATAAAAAAAGAAAGTAGCCATGGCCTTAACATTTGTCACCTGGGGCACTTGGCACAAAAAATAAGGGAAATCCTGACTAAGCGTCCTCTAAACTTTAGGGATTTTTTTCTCCTTTTAAAAGTAAACGAAGGCATGCATGCACTTCCAAAACAGGCTCATCTCATTGACCGTGAAAATCTGTTGAGGCACATGGCCCTGAGCGCTGATCAGTTTCTGAAGTTGTTTGAAATACTCGGGTGCCCAATGGGCATCTAACAGTTCTTTTGCGCCCACTGATTTTACATTTTGCAGACTGCAACGATTCCTGAACATCTCAAAGTATCTCTTGCTTGTATGGGAATAGCTGGGTCACCCTTCCCAAAGATTTCCACCAGCTTTTAGCAAATGCCTTTGGTCTGGTGGCAGATGGTCTTCGCATCAGAGCCTGCCCTTATGGTCAGGTCCTCCATCCACAAAGTTAACTCAGTCTCCATCTTGTCGATGTTCACGTCCTGGGGAATGCACAGCACCCTAGAACAGACTCAGCAAACACTCTCTGTGAACCCGTGGTCGCTTTTTCATTTTTCTTAATGGTGCGCACGGTTGACTCATTGATCCAAAAACAGCAGCCTACGTCGGTGTTACTCACGCCTTCTTCCAGCTTCTAGAGAGATTTCATCATGTTCCAGCGACACGACTCTCGTCCAGGGGCAGGATGAGCAAGGCTTGCGCTCCGCCCGGGGTGATCTCCGTGTGCTGGAACCGGAAGGAGGCGGGCGAGGCCGATGAACCTTCGGTGCGTCCCATTCTCCGCACGCCACTTGCCGGGCATCTGAAGCGCCTTCGCTCTCCGTGGGAGACACCACAGCAGCCTACACAGTCCAGCAGCTACACGGACCGGGTCGCACCGGGGAACACAGGGACCACTCGCGGGACCCGGCAGCCCAGATCTCGCGAGGTTTAGCAGCCTCGCGTGGCTCTCGGCGCCACCCGGGGCGGCCCAGTCACTGTCGCGTCTCGCGGCCGGGAGGCGGCCCCAGCAGATCTCGCGAGGTTTGGAAAAGCGCTCCGAGAGCCGCTCGGCTGTTCCGCCGGCCCCTGCGGGAGGGGCACGATGGCCGCTCAGGTGCTGGCTCTGCTGAGGGAGGTGTCGCGGCTGGAAGCGCCGCTGGAGGAGCTTCGTGCGCTTCATTCCATGCTGCAGGCGGTGCCGCTCAGCGAGCTCCGTGAGCAAGCGCCAGAACTGCACCTGGGCCCGCTTTTCTCCCTGCTCAACGAGAACCATCGGTGAGAGGACCCTGCACAGCTTGAGCCGGGGAGAGAGACCCCTAAGTATGGAGGAGGGGCTGAAGGAGTGAGGGGAGGGCTTACCCGTAGCGGGGAAGGTAGACGATGGCAGAATATCAGGGCGGGGAGAATCTTAGGATGGGAGGTGAGAAAGCCGGTTAGGTTCAGACGGGGGGCCCTGGCCTTGGTCTGGCGCCCCGCCTTCATCCTTAAAATGGGACTTTGAAGGGAAGAAAGTTGCCCACCTACAGGGGTCTCCTCAGTCTGTGCTGCAGCTTCTTGATTTTTCTCCTCTTAAGTAGGAGACTTAGCCTTGTAATTTGGCCATCAGCACTTTAAAATCGCATAATTTTGATCCTGTTACAGGAATTTAACATACAGTGCGCTTCCACACGTGTGCTGTGCATAGCGGAACTGTCATGCCAGAAAGTGACAGCCAGAACCTGGAAACAGCCAAATACCCGCGAAAAGGGGCTTCTAAATAAGTTATGACACGCAGCTATGTAATATTATGCAGCTGTTGGAAAACGAGGTAGATCTACTTACGTGGGCAGGAAAGACCTCAAGTATAAAGCAATGAAAAACATTGTAGGAGTTGATGGTCCCATTATATGTCACCTTTCAAAAGGGTCACAACACACTCAAACACAGACTAGTGTAACAGTGGGAATGTCTGAAAGCAGCAGGATCTTAATCTGGAAGTGGGAGTCGTGAAGAACAGGAGGGCGTCTTTTACTTTTCCCTTTATGGTCGCATCTGTAGTGTTTGCTTTGAAAACACTTTGGTTTTGAGATAGTGAAAGTGTTGTGATCCAGAAACTTAAAAGTGACCTTTTTACTTGAAATGACGAATCACTGCATCAATATTGGGTGACTTGGGACCACATTCTTAGTTTCTAAAATTTCTCCCTTTTTCTTATGTTCCCTCCACTCATAAAATAATTCATAAAATAGGTTCTGTCTATGAGGTGTCCCTTTGTCCACTTAACTCAGGCCCATTTAATTTTCTGCTTCTGGTAGTTGCTTCGTCATGACTTCTTGTTGCCTGGGAGCTTTCCTTCCAAGGGTTCCACCCACACTGCATCTTGAGTAAATTTCTTCAGTCATATGCTCAAGTGTTTTTCCAGGCTGTTCCTTTGCCTACAGTGTAAAGTCATGACCTTTTGAGTCTGGCATTTGGATCTATTTCCCTTCTACATTTCCTTCCCTCTTCGGCAAAATGTCATCTCTCCCAGCTGCCCTGTGGCACCAGTTATGTTAGCATGAACTGACTTGGCACTGTTTTACTTTTGTTCATGTCTCCTTCTAACAGAAGTGCCCTCTCCACATTGTATCCATTCTTTAAGACCCACCTAAGGTACCATCCTCTCCAGAAAGCCTTTCCTGCTCACTCCAGTTGCAAGTGACTGGTCCTTAGAGCTCCTGAAGGAGATTATCGCTGTTTCTGTTATTGACAGTTGAGACTGTTGCTTTATGTTAGTTCTGTATGAGTTTTCCCCCCTAGTTTGTAAATTGTTTGAAGGCAGGGGCCATATTTTGTTCATCTCTGCTTCCTTCTTTTGCTACAATATATAATATACTATGTGCCTTATAGAATCTTAGACTCAGAGTTTAGAAGGGCCACCTTGTCCAGCCACTTTATATAGTAGAGAAAGAGACCTGCAAAGGTCAAAACCATAACTAAACAGCAGAGATACAAAAGGAACTGAAATGAAAGGGAATTTGAAAGATAAGGTCCATGGGCAAGATGGTCTGTGAAGGTATAGTGTGCTAGGAAGCAATTTTAATGGAAATTTAGAGACAGGATAATTCAGAGCTATGTATTGGTTTATGATATAATCTAATAGCTGTAAATCTAGAATCTTGACAAGAGTTTTTTGGGAGAAAAAGTAAGAGTACAGCATAGATATCAAACAAAACTGACTAAGTTATGATATTAGTCTTGATATTAAAGGGCCACAGAGGACCTAAAATTTATATACTATACATTGCTTTTTTAAAATTCAGAGTGTTTGTTTGCATCCATAGCGCACACACTAAAGTTGCAATGATACAGAAAAGATTATCATGGCCCCTGCACAAGGATGAAATGCAAATTCGCAAAGTGTTCTGGAAGTTTTGAGAAAAGAGTTTCTTCCCCATGACTGAAAAGAAAAAATACTCAAGCACTCGAAGTTATCTCTCAAACTACCTCCCTTAGAGACCAAAATGTCTTTCTGCTGAAGTAGCTTGGTCTCTGTCAGGGAATCGTCCTTTCTTTTTGGAGTGATCTTAGGCCATTTCTTTGATCATAGTCATTTTATGCCTTTGAAATAAATACGAGGGTGATGATCACAAAGCTAGTGTTTGACATACCTCCTTGGCAATTTTTACAGGATGATATACTTGCTCACTTAGAAACCTGGGAGTAATTGCTACATATAATATTCTCAGTCTCTGGAATTCAATAAAGCTCATCTAGAAAGAGGGAAAAACATACACCAAACACTGTCAGGTTTGTAACTTATTAAAAATAAAATGCATATTTGAAAAAGTACAATTGACAAAGTTTGACATATGTATGTACCCTGAAGCCAGCACCACAATTAAGATAGGAAAGATATCTCTCAGTCCCAGAAGTTTCCTCATCGACCAGATACTCCCTGCCACCCCAGCCAGCACCCACTCATCTGCTTTCTATCACTATAGATAAATTTGCCTTTTTATTTTAAGTTTTATATAGATGGAGCCATATAGTATGTACTCTTCTGTTTGTTTTTTTTAATTCATCATAATTATTTTAATATTTATCCCTGTGGTGTGAATGAATCATTACTCTTTGTTAATGAACAGTAGACCACTGAATGGTTGTGTCACAATTTGTTTATGAATTCACCTGTTGATGAACCTTTGAAATTGGTTTCAGTTTGGATATGTTACAAATAATATTGCTGTAAGTATATATGTACTACTGTTTACATAGATAATACTCTTTTCTCTTTGAGTAAATACCTAAGAGTATATTGGCTGTATCCTATAATAGGTGTATATTTAACTTTCAAAGAAATTGCCAAGTTGTTTTCCTAAGTGGTTATACCATTTTACATTCCCATCAGAGGTATATGAGAATGAATTATAGGCCTAAATGTACAAGCAAAACCTAAAACTTCTAGAAGAAAATATAGGGGAAAAGTTTTGTGACTTTGGGTTAAACAAAGCCTTATTTTGATGTCAAATTTTATTGATTTGCAATTCATTTACCTAACTGTATAATTTCAGGAGGAAAGCTTCACACCTCCTGTGCAGATGAGTCTATACAGAGCTATTTTTGTTGTATTTTTCCAGCTTGTTTTCTTTGGTTGTATTCCAAAAATAAGTAAAACCTTTGCTAATTATCTTTCACTTTCTGACTTATTTCTCTTAGCATAATCATATCAAGTTCTGTCTATATTATCCAAAAAGAAACGTTTCATCTTTTTTAATAGTAGTAGTACTCCATTGAGAAAAAATGTATCATGACTTTTCTGGCAACCCAATAGCTAATTCTCACCTTAAAACTTAACTCAAGTGTTACCCTTCTGAGAGATCTTCTGTGGTCTTTTCTGAGCACCCCTACACACACTCACTCACTCACTACTTCTAGACTTTATATAGCTTTTACCTACCTGGACTATAGTTGCCTTTCTATTTTTCTGTATTTTTCCATTAGGAGAGATCCTTAAGGATAGAAGATATATCTGTCCTCCTTTGAGCCCCAGCATAGACATGGTACATAAAAGATACTTAGTAAATATTTAATAAATTCTAGAAGCTAGTGGTTTGAAGGGAAGTCTGTATGTAGTAGAGCTCATTGACTTAGGCTTCAAATATTATTATTATTACCTGACAGGACATAAAGTAATGAGATCTATGGTTTCTTCTTTAGGGAACAGACTGCTTTATGTGTATCCATTTTGGAAAGATTGCTCCAAGCTGTGGAACCAGTTCAAGTGGCCCGGAATCTCAGAGTTGACCTGCAGAGGGGACTGGCTCACCCCAATGATTCTGTAAAAATTCTCACTCTGTCCCAGGTATCAAGTTTTACTAGCTCCTAATAAGGAAACCAACATTTAATGATCACCTGTTCTGGACTAGGCTCCATACTAGCTGCTACAGACAGACAGGTGACGGGGGAAAAATGATCTAAGCAAAAAAAAGTCCCTAAGCAATGTCTATCCTATTCTGGTGTACATAACTAACTCTAATCAGGAGACTGCAAGCTAATGGAAGATGTTCATTAAGCACCATTTGAATGACTCATTCATTACATGCTAAGTTCCTGTTATATGCCAGGCGTTGTGCAGTATGCTCTTAGAGCTACCAATATGCTCTTAGAGTAGAACCTGTTTCTTCAAGGAGCTCCTACTCTAGAGAAAAAGACTGCCATGGTAGGCAGGAGAGGCCAGCAGCACTGTTACAAAGATCAGTGAACCAACCAACTACAACAGTAACTCTTCCTCATTATCTCTTCTGGAATGTGGGGTCAGTGTTGGTCTCTAATGTCCAGAGAGTGCTCTAGTTTCATCCCAAATCACAGGATCCTCCGAGCTCAGTGTTTGTCTGGACTACTTTAGATCATTCTCCTAGGAGTGAAACAGGTAACTTCCTCTGATGATGTCACTCAGGAGTGAACTATAGAGAAAATAAAAGAACTTAGAAAACTAAACCAAAACAAGCCTTAGAAATATGACTGCAGAACTAAGGCTGCTGGAGGGGGAGGAAGATGGGGATGGGGACAAAGGGAAAAGGCATATGGGTGTTTTGGTGGTGGGTGTGGTATAGCGATACACATTTGAAGAGGTATCAGCTTTTTCTAAATCATGTCCAGTGTTATAAGCCAACATTACTTAAAAAAGGAAAAAATGTATAGTTATAATAACAGGAATAGTGATAATAATAAAGACAGTACTTATCATCCTGATAGCCAAAATATCCTACTTTGAGGTAAAGATCTTGTAATTATCTTGTTGAAATGTTAGGAATTGAGCAGTTAATTGTCTAATAGGTTTTAGATGACTATCTTCCTTTCTCCTCTAAAGTGTCTATTCTGCATAAAGGGAGAAAGTATTAATTTATATTTTGACTATGTGCCAATTAGTGTAGAAAGTGCTTTAGCTATTTGAGCTCATTTAATTTAACTATTCTGCAGTTAAGGGTTGTAGTCCTACTTTATAGATGAAAAACTAGATTCAAGGAAGTTGTTTAATTTTCCCACAGCTGATGTAACAAGAAATTGATAACTAGGATTTGTATTAAACTCATTGAAGTGTCTTAGCTTTTTTTTTTTTTTAATTTTATAGTAGTTTATTTTTACATATTTTTGTGCATGTTCCCATCTCAGTTGCAATCCCCTTGGGTTTCCCATCACCAAATCATCCATGTGCCATCACCACAGTCCAGAGCATTTCCCTCCCCCCGCTGTTTTTGATCCCATTCCCACTCCACCCCCACAAAATGTGTCTGGTATATTGAAGTGTCTTAGCTTTTTACCCACCATTCATTTTCTTTCCTTTCAAAGATATGCCATATATATGTTTGGATCATTTGGAATTTTTAGCAACTTGTGTTACAGCTCTAGTCAGTAACTCCCAAAAGGATAAACATTGTGTGTTCATGTGTTGCCTTGGATGAGTATTTGACTGTTTTTTCTTTTAGGTTGGAAGAATTGTTGAAAATTCTGATGCTGTTACTGAGATTCTAAATAATGCTGAATTACTAAAGCAAATCGTTTATTGTATAGGTGGAGAAAATCTATCTGTTGCTAAAGCGGTGAGTCAGCTGGAACCACAGCTTAGATGTACAGAGATCTTAATGTCCTACAAGTCCTTTTGGATTGAGAGGTGAAAATTCAGAATGGATTGTTTTGTAGTTGAGTTTACAACCTCATATAGATGGCATCAAATACCTGTGAACCGCTTCAATTTTCTCAAATACACATATCTAAATTTATCCATCATAGGACTTACATTGGGTTGCTTGATAAGAAAAAGACTTAAGTGGAAATAGCGTGTATTTTTTCCAGTTATAAGTAATAATACATAATAAATGCTCATTGGGCAAGGTATATTTCATTCCATATACTTAGTTTTCACATCAGTCTTATAAAGTAGATATTACTGTTTTGTATTTTTATGACTTAATTGATATTTTTTTATAAGGCCATTAAATCCTTATCAAGAATATCACTAACCCAGGCTGGACTGGAGGCTTTGTTTGAAAGCAATCTGCTGGATGATTTGAAAAGTGTAATGAAAACAAATGACGTTGTTCGATACAGAGTGTATGAGGTAAGATACACGCATCCTTTCAGATGTGCATAATTCAGAATGGGTTAAGGCTCTTGTTGGGAGGCAGGACAGCTCAGTTAATGTGCACTTACTGAGTATATGTTACGGAAGGCCCTTTACTAGGGACTGGAGATACAGGAGACCACGTCCCAACCTGGTGTGTGAGCCAGTCATTTAAGAAAAAAATGTTTGTAGAGCACTATATAAATGTACTATAGTAAGCAGAGAGAATCAAAACTAGACTTTGAAAATATGAGTAGTAGTAATAAGCAGACAAAATATCTCTTAATTTGCCCCAGTTTTGTACCAAGCACCGTGTTAAATCTCATAGTGCTGTTTTTAACTCTGAACGCTATACATTACCGCCTTGAAGCTCACTGGTATTGGAGTAATCCCTACACAGTAATAGGCTGCATATTCAAAATGGAACCCTCCACAGCCTGCCTGCCTCTTCAGAGCACTTTGTTATTTTGCATGTCTTCATACCCACCATCCTTACCTTCCTGCTGCCTTTGTTTTTCCCTCAGTCTTCTGGCTCATTATCTATCAATGACTTTGTAGTTATTAGAACTCATGGAGGTGTCCCCTATGTTCATTCCTGGGCAATTTTACTCTTTTTATGATTTCAGTTTCTACCTGGTTAGTACTGATTCCATAAGCCTCCATCCTGAAATCAGACCTAACCTTCTGAAATCAGACTTCTGAAGTCAGACCTTCATGTCCAACTTCCTATTCTCTCTCTCCCCCTCAGACATATCCAGGCTTCTCACACCCAAATTCAAACCAAATTTCAGGTAGTCTACCCACCCCAAACACCCATTTAAAAACATCAGCAACAGACTGACTCACCTTCCCTCTCGTTGGGAATTAAACCTTGAGCTCATGTTCTCTGAGACCTTGTTCCCCCTGCCACATGTCCATTCAGTATTTTTTTTTAAAGATTTATTTATGCATACAGAACTGGGGTACAGGCCAGAGGTATAGGGGCGGTGAGAGGATTCACCAGAGAGAGAGTGGGGAGCAGAACAGGCTGACTGACTAAGTACCCTGCCGAGGGGAGCAGCGGGTGGGTCAGGAGAGGTCTGATGTGCTATGTGGATCACCTCCAGGGTTGGGGATCGAATTCATGCTGAAGTGGCTTTAGCTTCTTAGTGCTGTGTTTTAACCCGCGGTGCCACCAGGGTGGGCCCCAGTCACTAAGTGATTTTAATTTTTTCCTAAATTCATACATTTTTCTTCCTTTGTATAGCCAGGCTATACGGAGGCTGCCAATATCTCTTAACCTGCCTTACTGTACTTGTAAATTAAAGTGGTCTCTTATCCCTTTTTGTCAGCACTAGTCTTATCTTCACATGCAGTCAAAGTTATCTTTTAAAAATCAGTGGTGAGGGCCCTCCCTGGTGGTGCAGTGGGTTAAAGCACTGCACTAAGAAGCTAAAGCCACTTCCTCATGAGTTCGATCCCCGCCTGCCCCGGAGGTGACCACATGGCTGGCAGAACTCTCCTGACCCGCCCGCTACTCCCCTCAGCAGTGTACCTCATCTATATGCCTGTTCTGCTCCCCACTCTATGTGTGGTGAATCCTCTCACCGTCCCTGCACCTCTGGCCTGTACCCCAGTTTCTGTATTCATAAATAAATAAATCTTTAAAAAAAAAATCTGTGGTGAGTTCGCCATTCCTCTACATCAGCACATATTTGTTGAATGAGTAAATGAATCGCTATCTGGCAGAATGCATGAATGAATGAATGATTTTTGTATTCTATTGTTGATTTAGGCTTTTATAACTTAATCGATGATTTCTTTAAATAAAGTGCAGCTATATCTATATACACTATAATGTTTCTGTGCCAAAGTAATTTCTTATGTGTTCAGTAGAGTTTTCCTACATGTGGAGACAAGTAACAGATTCCTAAAATTCAGTTAAAAACACCTAGTCCTTCATTTAACTTAAAGTGAGATCTCACAGGTTTGGGATTGTTTTGACCTGCTTTTTTTCTGTTCTTTCAGCTAATTGTGGAGATTTCTTCTGTGTCACCAGAATCTTTAAACTACTGCACTACCAGTGGACTGGTAACCCAGCTCCTTAAGGAGCTCACTGGTGAAGACGTGTTGGTCAGGTGTGTTGGCTGAGAGAGCTCTCCAAGTGCAATTTACTCTTGTGGAGGCAAGGAAATAGCACTGGACTTAGTGTGATCTTGCCTATTAGAACCTTTGCCCAGGTTGCAATCTCATGAGCAGTATTTGTCCTGAAAAAGAAGCTCTTAGGACATAGCTTACGTTACACTGTGTGTGTCGCACTCTGGAGCTTCGCACAGCTGTGCTTAGCTATTCAGCTGCTGTTGATGAACTGTGTTCCTTGTGCTTAGACATGGGTTCTCTCAGAAAGTTGCAGTCATGATAATTGCCACTTTGTGTTACTCAGCATGTTATGATACACATTTATGGCTTTGTTAACTGAGTGCTGTGGCATGAGAGTGAAAGGGTGAAACTAAAATGTAGAATTATATGCATCTGTGCTACTTATTAGCTGTTGGACCTTAAACAAGTTACTGTAAACTTTCTGCACCCCAATTTCCTCATCTCTCAAGTACCAACTTTGTAAACAAGATATTTTGAGGATTAAGTGAATTGACCATAGAGACCAATATAGTGACTCACATTAATCCTCAAAGAAAAATTAATTACAGCCTCCCTTCTCCCTAAGTCCCCTTTAATATCTTTGGTCACCTTGTTGATATTCTACAATTTACTTATACACCTTCATTGTTAAATACTTAACAGTGACTTACTCAAGCAATTTTGTTCTTATAACAACAGCATAGTTACTGTCTCTGTGGACAAATTTTTGTTTTCTTAAATGATTTTTTGATTTCCTCATTTTTTTTAATGTGACTGAATTTGTGAAACACATGCTGTCACCGGTTACATTGTTTCAAAGCATTTGAATTACATTATTTTGTAAGTATTCTTTTTTTTAAAAGGATTTATTTATTTATGCATACAGAACTGGGGTTCAGAGCAGAGGTGCAGGGGAGGTGAGAGGGTTCACCAGAGACAGAGTGGGGAGCAGAACAGGTGGAGTAGTGGGCGGGCGCATCAGGAGAGGTCTGCCTCACCATTAGGGTCACCTCCAGGGCTGGGGATTGAACTCGCTCTGAAGCTGCTGCGACTTGCTTGCTGTGCTGTGCTTTAACCTGTTGTGCCACCAGGGAGGGCCCATGAACTAGACTGTTTCAAATCATTGCTAACAATATTAAGTTTGTTAACTTTCTTTGGCCTTGTGTGGAATTTTGTGACATAGAAAATACCCTTCAAATAGTTAAAAATACCTTAGAATCTGCTTTGAAAATACTTTTTTTTAGTTATTTGGGGGCAGTTGTTCGTGACTTGATATTAGAAGATAACTAAAGAATTATTACATTTAATATGTGGTAGTGGCATTATAGTTATGAAAGTAAATAGTAACGTGTTTTGGAGCAGCATACTGAAGTATGCAAAGGTAGATAGCAGGAAGATTAGAATTTGCTTTAAAGTAATTTAACAAAAAATGAAATGAAAAGAAGATGAAACAAGTATAGCAAAATCTTAACAACTATGCCCTCAGGTATGTTGCGTTTGCTGTACTTTGTCTTTTGTGTTAGATATTTCAAAATAAAACAAAATTTAAAAAAATTTCTAAGGAAGCGGCTGAGTCTTAGGGGAAACAATAACAGGCCTCATGTCAGAGATCAGGATTTACATCTGTAGTCTGCCTTGCATAATAACGTGATTGTGCACAAGTCTGTCATTTTCTCCTCGTGTCCTTGTCTAAAAAGTAGAAATAGATTTGTGGACTTTTGAGATTTTGTGGGGAAAATGAAATAAGATAGCATGTATGAAAGCAGTTTTTAAAGTATGCTAGTCACATGCAAAATCTTGACATTTCAGAACCACCTGTATAGAAATGGTGACGTCACTGGCATGTACTCATCATGGAAGACAGTACCTAGCTCAAGAAGGAGTAATTGACCAAATTTCCAATATAATTGTTGGGGCAGATTCAGACCCTTTTTCTAGCTTCTATTTGCCTGGTAAGACACACTGTTTCTTGTAGAAATAATGGTGCTTGTTTTGTTTCTGAGTTTCTCTGAAAGGGGAGGCCACGGGTTGTTTTCTTTAGAGCTGATCTCCTTTAGATGACATGCCATAGCCCCCTAATGACAGAATGAATAGCCCTGGAAGCTATTTCTGATTTTCTGGATCTTTTGCTGTTCAGAGCATTAGTATACTTTCCTTAAACCTCAGTCTAAAGAAGCAAATAAAAAGACCAGTATATTTCATAGATTCATCATTCTTCCTTACCTAGTACAGAATCTACTTCAGCCAGTCTGTCCTAGGACACTGTTGATTAGTTTTTCTTACACACTTTCGGAAATTAGAGATTTAACCCTCCCCTAAATAACCTAGTATAGTTCATTGGTCAACATCCATGTTAAAGATTCTTCATAGCACCTCTCCTGCCCACCTATCACACTGTGCAGTTGCCTCTCTTTTTCTAATAAACTTGTCCTTTTAAATGTTAAAAAAAATCTTCCTAGTAGACTTCAGACTTGCCTTTCTATAATTTATATCCACTAATCCGTATTCTTTGTTCTCCCTCTTGTGTACAACCATGCTTCATTGTTTGGACACAGCTCCATTGGTATCCTGGGGCGCCTGTCCTCTCAAGTAATGCATTGAAGGCCCCTCAGTATCTGCTCACGGTCTGTCTGATTCCAAGACAACACAGTTTAACCTTTCTCATCTTTCGGATCTGTAATATACTACTGCTGTCCTGTGAAAATACGGCCCACAACTTGCTATCTTCCTCAGTTAAGTCTTTTTTTTGTAAATATCTTTAGGATTTGTGAAGTTTTTTGGAAACCTGGCTATCATGGACAGTCCTCAACAGATATGTGAGCGTTATCCTGTCTTTGTGGAAAAAGTCTTCGAAATGACAGAAAGCCAGGACCCCACCATGATTGGTGTAGCAGTAGACACAATTGGAATCCTGGGGTCCAATGTTGAAGGAAAACAGGTTTTACAGAAAACAGGTCAGTGTGCCTTATTTTCTTTTCAGTTATCTTAATTTTTGATAAGGAATCAATAATGTAAGTTCATTTATTGGTACATTAAATACCTTGTAGAAACTACTTTTAGAGATGATGATATTTTTGCTGTGACCTTGAACTCATCCATGAATAGCCTCACTACGACTTTTTTTTTTCACATGGCTGGACAAAGCACTGTTTCCCCTCCGTGTCTTCCTTAAATAGTATTCATGGCACAGAGACCATGGCTGGAGTCAGAAATACCTGGATTTGTGTCCCAGTTCTAACACTGTTGTAGTTTTTTGAACTTCATTTATTCACTGTACTACCCTAGGACTCATTTTCCTTTTTTTACAAAGTGAGTATTAACAACACTATTTCTCAGTTATTGTGACTGTGTAATGTAAGGCATTTACAATACCAAGGAAGGAAAAGAAAACAGGATTGTTAACAGAATTTTATGTGAAGAATGAGCATTTGTGAAACTTCCATGAGAATCTTGAAAGCACTAAACAATTCTGTGCAAAAGATACCATAGAACACTGTTAAAACCCTGCCAAACCATATGCTAAAGATTAATACATTGTGTATCACAACTGGTATCTTTGTTATATGTACTTTCTGAGTTATTTAGCTATGACATATAATCCTATGAAGCTCTGCAGAGAACATATCATTCTCATTTTTCAGATAGGTTAGGTTCAGAGAAGTTAAAACAATTTTCTAAGATCATAGAGAATGTGGGGCAGCTACTACTCAAATCCAGCCAGATTGTGTGATTCCAAATCCTCTACCCTTCACCTTATGTACGCTGTATTGCATATGCAGGTATGTTTTAGGCCCATCACTTCATCTCTGTCCACATGGTTTATATTGTTTTGGTTTAGGTTGGAAGGGATCATAACATAAAAATGCATACTTTTTTTTTTTTTTTTTAAGATTTATGTGTACAGAGCTGGTGTACAGGCCAGAGGTGCAGGGGCGGTGATAGGATTCACCAGAGAAAGAGTGGAGAGCATAACAGGCAGATGAATGAAGCACACTGCTGAAGGCAGCAGGTGAAACAGGAGAGGTCTATGCCATGTGGATCATCTCCCTGGCCAGAGATTGAATTGAGGATGCTGTGGCTGCAATAGCTTCATAGTGCTACACTTCAGCCTGTTGTGCCACTAGGGAGGTCTCTAGAATGCATACTTTTACAGTTCTCATGGTTTACTTCATCTCCATTAGGATGACTATGTAATGTGTGTGTGTGTGTGTGTGTGTTATATATATGTTGACAAGGATGTAGAAAAATTGCAATCCTGTGCATATCTGGTAGCACTGTAAAATGGTGCAGCCACTGGAAATAGTGTGGTGATTGCTCAAAAAAATGACTCATAGAACTACTATACCATTCAGTAATTTTGCTTTCATTTATATGTCCAAAATATCCTTTGTTCACCTTCTTGCATATAATAATACTTCAGTATTTGGACCCAGTTCCACGGATGTCCTGGGGTTTCTATTCTCTCAAGGTTGTTAAAGTATTTCCTTATGAGATACAAAGAGAATTAAAAGCACTCACAGATTTTTGTACCCCTGTGTTCATAACAGCGTTATTCACAATAGCCCAGGGGCATAGAAATAACTCATGTTCACTGACAGATGACTAGCTGATCAAAACATGATATATACATACAACAGAATATTATTTCACCTTCAAAAGAATACTTTCTCACACATGCTACACATGGAGAAATCTTGAAAACATGATCCTAAGTGAAATAAAGCAGGCACAGAAGGGCAAATGTTGTATGATTCCACATAGAATATGAGACACCTAGTCTAATAGCACTGAAAGTGGATACCAGGCACTAGAGTAGAAGGGGGAACAGGGTCAGTACTTGTTGAGTACAGACTTGAGGTTTTAGATAGTTAGTAGTGATGGTTACGAGACAATATGAATGTATTAAATGCCACTGAACTGCGTGTTTTGAAATGGTCAAGATGGTAAATTTTATGTTATTTTGCCAAATAAAAGAATTCCCATTACCCTTCAAAGGCACTCGCTTTGAACGCTTGCTCATGAGAATAGGACATCAAGCAAAGAATGCCTCAACAGAGCTCAAGATTAGGTGTTTGGATGCAGTTTCATCTCTTCTTTATTTATCAGTAAGTAGATTGGGAAATTAATGAAAAAACAGTGGGGGTGTATTTGGAACAATAAATCTATCTGCATCAACATACTTAGCCATCTTTCTTGTTCTTCGTAAAAGACAATAACCCTCACTATATAACTAATGCCATTTTAAAGTGGAATTAGAGCTGAATAAGAACTGAGAGAACCTAGAGATTACTTAATCAGCACCAACAAAAGAACCAAACAAGAACTGGGACAATTAGGGCTAGCTTTGGGAAAGAGTGTTCGAGACTCAGCAGAGATCAGAGACAAGTGACAGAGGACCATCAGGACCCAGGTTTCCTGACTTGCAAGTAGCTTGAGATTTTCCTTTTCTGTCCTGTAGCCTGAGCAGCAGACTGATGACCTCCTGCGGATGACAGAATCCTGGTTTTCCTCCTTATCTCGGGACCCACTGGAACTTTTCCGTGGCATCAGTAATCAGCCCTTCCCTGAACTACACTGTGCTGCCTTAAAAGTGTTCACGGTAGGCATCTTTCCACAGGTCCTTCTGGACTGTGCCACCTCAACACACAGCACCTACGTGAGCATGCCTACTACGCCATGCCCTGGGGAGCCTTCCCTTATAGACTAATGAGCGAGACCCAGGTGTCAGCAGGTGGTTCCCATAAAAAGGAGTAGGTGTTGTGGCAGTCAAAACTCTGTGGCATCACAGAATTACTTCGATTCCTTCTCTGCCACCAAGCTGAGTCTCTGTGCGCTTGTCCTGGTTTTCTCATCCTGAGCCTTGTTTTCCTGTTCTTGCTCTTCTAGCACGGTTGCTCTAGTGATACCAGCCATTTTTGGCTTCTGCTTAGATAATCTCATTATTACTTTGTTTCCACTCTTCTACCTTATGCTCCACTCAGTTGGCCACAGTTGTAGAGATAATTTCTGATTTACATTGGAATGGTTACCTTTATTTCAGCCCACCCTTCATCAGCTGTTGTTAACAAGACTGATGTGTCTCAAACTTCAGAACTCTCATTCAGATGTATAGATTTTTATTTCTGGAATGACACCTGAGATCCTGAATTTCTAACAAACTCTCAGATGATACAGTGGTACTGAGAGAGACTAGGCTATAAGCTTGTTTCTTGGTCATTAAAATGTAGTACTGAAATTTCAACAATATGGAAATTTTAATATTTGCAAAAATTGAAATTTTTAACTCATCAGAAGTCATACCTGTTTGGTTAATATCCTTTTGGTATTAGTGTTCATATTTACTTACTTGTGATGAAATATTTGAAATATACAGTCGTGCTTTATTATCTCTGCTCAGATCCATTCCCCTTCCTCCCTCTTATGCTCTTAGGATATAATCACTGTCATAAATTCAGGCTTTGCAAGTCCATGCATGATTTTATACTTTGATTCCAAGTGTGCACATCTTTATATTGCACGTCACAAATTGCACTATTTCACCACATTTTCTTAAATTTTGTAAATGGCATGCTGCTTATTTTCTGCAATTTGTTTTTGTTTTTTTTAAGATTTATTTATTTTGTGCATACAGAACTGGGGTACAGGCCAGAAGTTCAGGGGCAGCAAGAGGCTTCACCAGAGACAGAGTGGGGAGCAGAACAGGCAGATCAACGAAGTACATTGCTGAGGGGAGCAGCAGGCGGGTCAGGAGAGGTCTGCCACACCATGTGGTCACCTCCGGGGCAGGTGGCAATCAAACTCCTGAGGAAGTGGCTTAAGTTTCTTAGTGCTGTGTTTTAACCCACTACGCCACCAGGGAGGGCCCTGCAATTTATTTTTTTCTACATTTGTAAGATTTATCTATGCTAAAAGGTGTGACTAAAAAGTCTTTAGTTTTTCATTTTATAAATGAAGATTCAGATACTTCTTTAAGACTATCTTGTGTAAATGTATGAGAGTTTAAGGTAGTCTTTCTTTCTCTTTGTTTTTTTGTTTTTCTACTGTTGTAATTCTGCCATGAATGTAATTTGGTCTTTTTTTTTTTTTAATGTAATAGATATCTTTATAAAAATTCCTAATGCTATTTTTCATTATTATATGCTAAAATTTTACTTATCCATCCTTCCATTATTAGTATTTATATTGTACTTTTCACAGCGATGGGCACCTTTGTATACAAAGCTTTTTAATATTTAGGCTATTTCCCAAAGATAGATTCCCTTGAGGGAATTTACTTAGGCCAGGAAAAAAAAAAAAAGGTTTGTAAGATCTATGTTGTAGAAGTTCTAAGGGTTATGTAATCTAGCTAATAAACTTTACTCCTAAAAGCTCAGAGGAATTGTATTTTGTCTGCCTTCCATTTCAGGCCATTGCAAACCAGCCCTGGGCTCAGAAACTTATGTTTAACAGTCCAGGTTTTATAGAATATGTGATGGACCGGTCTGTGGAGCGTGACAAAGCTTCAAAGGATGCCAAATATGAACTGGTGAAAGCACTTGCCAATTCCAAGACAGTTGCAGAAATCTTTGGAAACCCAAATTACTTGAGACTCAGAACTTACCTGAGTGAAGGACCTTACTATGTGAAACCCGTTTCCACAACAGCAGTGGAAGGAGCGGAGTGATTGCTTCTCGAATCTAGACCTTTTTTTGACCAAAAATGCCTCCAAAGATTTTTGACTATCTGTATTTTACAAAATAGAAACTTCCCATCCCCAGAATGATGGAGTGTCTAATATGATTTATCACCAACATTTGCCATGTTTTTGCATTGAAATACAGTTTGGGAAGTGGGCAAAATTCAGTCATAATTGAACCAGATACTTTTCAGATTCCTTTAGCTACATTAATCTTTGCAGTGAGATAGAAATTATATTCTCAGAATATTTTCAGGGACTTACTCATTGTCTGCTTTAAAAATACATCATATAAAATGGAACCAAGTTGTTCTGAATTATCTTTACCACTTTTTCTTTTTGGTCCTATTCCTGCTTCAGATTCTACTTTCAAAGTGTTAGATATAAATAGTCTCAGAGAAATAATATGAACTTAAAATTATGTTCTCTATCCTAAGTTCTCTTGATTTTTTGTACTATTATTCCTTTGAAAAACAGACAATAAATTTTTAAAAAATGTTTCAAGTGTCCATTTGATGTTTTCTGAACAAATTCCTTTAATTCTGAGTTTTCCTTATATCAGCATTCTCAAAAAGTCACTCACCGAGTCATGACAGCTTCAGAAAATCTGATTTTTTAAAAATTTACTAATTATAAAAAGAAAGAAAACTTGTAGTTATAATTCAACTTACTGTTCTGTCTTCTGAATGACTTTATTTTGAAAAGAATCATCCTAAGCTAGCTTAGGTCTATTGAAACAAAATCTCAAATGATGCAGTACATCAGAGTACTAAGAACATTTTACAACTTGCTAAACAGAATTAAAGATTCAGAGAAATGACATAAAACACCACGGAGAAGGCATGCTTTCTATGATAAGGTAGAAGGTAATTAAAAAGAACACACTTAGAAGAAAACCCAAGAAATCCTAATCACTAAAGTACATGGCCTTGTTTTCTATGGTCCCCATGTGAAAACGTTTAAAGCTGTCAAGGTATGTCAGAACTTTGCAGGAAATGAGCCCATAGTAAGTCTCAAACAGTGTACATTCTTTTCCATCATTAATTTCCTTCCATACCAGGGGCATTTCAGCATCTAAAATTACTGAGGATGTGAAAATGAACTTATAGCAACATCTGTTGTATCTGATATGCTTTTTCCCAGAAAACCTTGAGCTATGGATGGGTACAAGACCAATAGACTTGGCACAAATTCCTACAAACACATCAGCAGGCACCATCGTGGGTACTTCCTTGGAAACCACATACATCACCCGAGCCACATCTTGGGACATGATAAAGGCCTCGCCACTGCAGTAATCCGGGTAATACTTTTCTGGATATTCGCTAAAAGGGACAAATTCTTGGACTTTAGGATCTCTATTGGGTGTTTCCTGATGGATAACTCTTCCTACGTAGATATCATCAAGGTGTTCTTTTAGATTGAGAAGATAGTCTACCAAGCTTGCAAGATTGACAAACATGTCTTCATCAACCTTAAGAATGAACAGGGCATTAGGGCAGAAAGTCACAGTCCACTGTGTCATCGCAACGATCTTCAGGGTTTGGTTCTCAGTGCTGTCCAAGAAGATGCCTTCAATTATATCATTATTCTTACGAGACTCTTTGGCAATCTCTTGCTGGGTGGTTACCAAAAAAGGCATTCCCAAAGCGAACAGCGTGAGAATGGAGTGCCCTCGGACACTGGTCACGTTACCCCAGGTTTTCCTGATGAGATTCCGTCTTGTTTCATTTCCTGGGCTACTGAAAATGAGAGAGAGCAAAAATATGTTCTTCCCTTTACAGACCTCTGACTGGCTCAGGATATAATACTTGGAAAGATTACTTTTTAGGGGCTCCATATTCAGTTTTCTTGCTTTATCCTTAATTTCAAGAACTTTCATGTCTACATAAGGCAAAGCATGCAGAAAGTATTCTTCCACAAAATCAGCACCAAAAAGCAAAGCATGAAATAGGATAATATTAAACAGAATGAAGCACCACTGGTGAGTCCGAAGTCTGCAGAATGTCACCTAAATTAAAAAGACAAACACATATTCAGTCAGTGTTCATCTCCAGTCCAGTTTTTGACCCCACTGAATGCATTACATACATCCTACAGCACTTGCACTATGGTATTTTAAGTGTTTAGTCTTGTTGCAGGTCTCCCACTAACTGGTCTCCTTGGACAGCAGGCATCTCATGCCTCTTCTCCAGTGCTGCTGAGTGAGTGCTTGACACAAAGTGAAAAGTGAACAAAAATTAGTTGGTAGTTTTCTTGGGGGCATGAATAAAAGCCCACTTACTCTATAAAAGGCACTGTGTTAGATTCTGGAAGCAAAGAGGAATCAGCCAGACATGGATATAAAGTAACAAGTGGCATCACTGTTATGGAAAATATATGATGTTCTTCTGGAACTGAGGACTGGGATCAGTTTCTTATTACAGACGTCATGGGCTATTACAGACGTCATGGGCTATTTCTCCATGAAGCGGTTGCTTTTCCTGGCCACTGCACAATAGCTACTAACATTTACCTCTTTCCAGTGTGACTTTTTAAGTGAATACTGAATTCTGACTGACAATGTCCCCTAGCCCATTTGATGAGGCTGTCAATATGGACAGATCCCTGCTTATGTGCACAGCACCCCTTCAGAGATCTCAGCAGCCCCATGCCACACCTACTCCACTGTACCAAAGGAGACAGAACCATTCCACCTACGAGGCGTGCCAGGTAACATGAAAGGTCTGAAATCTCCATTCACTGGCTCTCCCATCAAAAAAGCCTCCCATAAAAATAATGACCTCTTATTAAACATCCCTCTGCCCTAGGCACTGGGCTAAACACTTTCCATGCCAACTCATTTTGCTCTATGAATCCTTTCAGATAAGTTATCTTCAAAATTAAACTGAGCTTTCCAGGGATTTAATAAGTATCACTCAGTGGGTAGTGAACTCAATCTGCTGGACTCCAAAGCTCATTCAACCACTAGAGAATTCTGGCTTCCATCTTTTACTTTTCTGTGTATACTGAATAGGAAAAAAACAAAAATCTCCTACAATTATAGTTTAAACTTGCTACTTTTTCAGTGCTGATGGTTTTCATACAGAAGAAATGTCCACCTCCTTAAAATTATTTCAGAGCATATCAAATACTTTGAAGATTATTTAAAAAAAAAAAAAAACTTACCTGCATGGTGTCTGTGAGCAATTCCAAGAGCTTTGGGATTGTTGAGTTTAGATGCCAAATTATATCCAAATGTGTTTCAGGTTCACTCCAGTCGAACAGCAACTGAAGTAAAGTACTTTGTGCATGAGACTTTAAGGATAGGGTTTCTTCCGATCAACCTGAGCTTTTGTCCCAGAATACCTGCTGGCTCCATAAGAGAGCAAGTGTGCATCGGGTTACAGCCAGACTGAATCCACAAAAGAGAATAGAAAAAGCAAACCTCTTCAAATGCCTCGCCTGGTGTGTCTCAAAACTGACCCATCTTTCTGCTGAGTCCCTGGTGAAGTATATGCTGAAATTGAAAACACACATCACCCACATCACCTCTCACAGCACCGTACAAGGAGAAATGCCACACAGTGTACTTGGGATGCAGCTCAAGAGATTAAGCAGTTGCAGTCGTTCCTGCTTCCTGGAACATGCATGAAGTGTACTAAACTTCAAGAAATGCTTGTCATCCTTGGTAGATGCATTTATTTTTCTTCCCCAAAGCAGCATCATATGATGAGATGTGGTATATTTTTCATTGGGAAGGATTTTGAATTCCTAGTATAACAATGTAAGGACTTGACTAAATCAATTACTGTCATTCAAACTACCTCTCCCAGACAACTTTATCTCAAAATGGAAAACATTTTAGCTTGTAGAAACTAAGCATTTGATATTTGCATTTTTCTATTGCATATAGGCATAGGAATTATCCCAAACATCATTTGTATCAGAAAGTTCCTTTTTTTCCAGTTGTTAAATAGCCACAGCTAATTTCTATTTAAATTTCTTATAGTGGTAACCTTGATTTACAACATTGTATATGATTAGAATCCTCTGCCATAGTCCACTATTTCTCCCTCCCTATTTCCCACTCTGGTAGCCTCAATTCTACAGTGAGATTTCAAGATTAGTTTTAGCTGATCCTTTGTATTCTCTGTATTCCATCATCTGATATTTCTCCTGACATATCATGTAACATAATCCCCTCGAGTTCTATCTATGTTGTCACAGAAAGCAAGTTTATTTTTTTTTAATAATTGAGCCGTATTCCCTTGTATATATGTCCATCTTCCTAACAAACTCATCTGACTTTAGGCATTTAGTTTGTTTCCATAGTTCATAGGAACTATGTCTCTTTGAATTAGTGTTTCTGTGTTCTTTGGCTAGATACCTAAGAAAGGAATTGTTGGATTATATTTTTAATATTTTGAGAAATCTCCATACTGTTTTCTATAGGAACTAAAACAGTCTACATTCCCACTAACTGTGTACCAGGTTTCCTTTTCTTCCACATCTTCACTTGTTTCTGGTCTTTTTTATACTGGTCATTTTCACAGGTGTGAGGTGATATTTCATTTGGTTTTGATTTGTATTTCCCTGATAAGTGATGAACATTTTTTTTCTCATGCCTGTTTGACTATCTGCAAACCCCTGTTGGATAAGTCCATATTTGCCACACAGCAATTGCATTGAATATTCTTTCCTCATGCCAGGCGACAGTACATCTTTTTATTTTCCACATTGACATCCCTGCCATTCAAAGATGTTTTTAAAATTATTTGGTTAGGAATAGTTCATTCCATTTATAGTTTATTTTCTCAGCCCTCATTATGCAGACTTGGAAATTTTTACAAAGTGGGAAAATCTAAAAAAAAATAATTTGTCTGAAAGGGGATTTTTACAAACTCTACATTTAACAAATAGGCCCTTGAAGTATTTAATCAGACAAATTCTATTTTGTGATTTTTCTTTTTTCAGGATCATATATTTTGCTTCTGGATCTCCTCTAGACAAAAATTTAAGTTTGGTTTCTTTGTCCATGAGTGGTTCTAACAATGTTGTCCCTTATGCCTTTATCCCTACTTTCACTCACTCACCTCACTTTAATTTTCTCCCAGTGCTGGCGAAGGTTTGCACAACATAGTGCTCATCTGTTTATCTAAGCTCCAAGTAGTCAGGAAATTTTATGCTGTTTGCTCCTAACTCTTTGCTCCTAATGGTGTTTGGGACATAATAGGTGCCCAATGGGTTGGCTTTGGACATGTCATTTCATTTTCATCCTACAAGCTTTTTGAAAAAGTTACCTTCCACAGTAAGTACCACTATTGCCATACTTGCAGAACTGTTTTTGGTCTTGACCTCCTTAAATGCCTATTAGCCAAAAAATTTTTGACATCTTAATATAGATACCTTAAAAGAACTCTCAAACTGTCTTAAAGACGGTCTCATTTTCCTGCATAAAGTACCTACTAAAACGCCACAATAATTATCTTTAGGTGTATGTACGGTGCAATTCACTGTATTCAATCCCTCATGTTTTGTAATAGTTGCTATTAAAATTCTAAAATGAAGCATGCTAATTCCAGTTCAATTCAGTGATTCCTCTTTTCATGCTGATCAAGTAAATTTATCATGTTTCTCTTCCAGGTCTCAGCATTAAGAACATTGTCATTCCCTGCAAGAATCTCCCTGAGATCTGTCTCATTTTCATGCATGTTTTTTGCTGTATTTCACCTCCCACCCTCCATCCCAAATGACTAGCCTGGCCCAGTCCTTGTTCCCTCCATCCCAAATGACTAGCCTGGCCCAGTCCCGGCCTCCATCCCCTGATTTTCCTGGATTGACAACAGTACAGCTGGCACCTGTGGGCCTATCCCACAGGCCTTTTTTCTTCCATGGTCTGGCCTCAGCCTGGCTTCTTAGGCAGCCCCAGACTGTCCCTCTTGAAGCTCTTCACCACTGAGCACCTAAATCTCCTTGACTTCCTCTATGCCTTTCTCACAGTCCTTTCAAATTCAGAGCCGCCTCTGGACGGGAGGCTGGTGTATGGGCTGCTGGGGACCTTCCTTTTGCTGTGGCCACTATGCGTGTGCATGGTCGGCCTCCTGCAGCCTGGGCTGAGGCTCACTAAGGGCTTTGCACCCGCGTTGGGTTTGGTCTCCAACCCCTCCACCCACTCCAGGTCCCTGGAAGCGTCATTTCCCTTTCTGGTGACTTATTTATTCTTCACACTGATCCTCTACCTCTTCGATTTGATTGATGCACTGACTCAGGTCATTGAAGAAGTTACTCTTCAGGTTGTTCTGGTTCTTCTAAAACGGAGTACATCCTGATGCAGCTTGCTGTGCCTCTTCTGTAAGGCCTTTAACTGGCCTTCCAGAGTTTAAAAGGGCCTCTCATCAGTGGTGACATTATTCATTAAAACCGTCTTTTCCTCTGGTATAATCTGTTGAGTGAGGTCTCCATCTGATAATTGTGGCTGGACTAGATTTTGTCAATCAGGTTCTCGTTGCTTTCCCAGCTTGCCCTGGAACTCATTCAGCTCCACGGTTCACTTTCTGCGGCCATGCTGTGGACCTGCCTTAGAGCTCTGTGATCCTATTCTGGAGATCCAGGTTCCGGGAGCTCATAATCCATTAGCTGAAGCTCAAGATGATGAAACAAGACACCAGGGTAGGCAGCTACTTTATGCTGTGACATCCCTTCCCAAGCCCATCATCTCAGAGACTTTACTTTGAATCTAACCCTGGGAAAGCCGAGGCGTATCGCTTAAGTTCAGAAGTCCTTCCAGCTGCGGCTCCGGCGGCCGCTCCACCGTGGGAAGCTGCAGCCCCTTCGCTGCCCCCGGGCCCTCGCCAGCTCCGTGCCATGAGGCCCACGCTTTGTCCAGCGCTTCGCCTCTCCGCCTAGGCAGCGACGATCCTGGGGCTGTGCAAGTCTCTTGTCCCTTTCCTCGGTAAAGTGAGGACAGCAAGAGAAAGTGTTGCAGGGCTGAGGCAAGATCACACTGGAGGAGCGACATAAACGCGTGGGACATCAGGCTGCCGGGTGCGGGCGCCAAAAAGCCGCCGTTGCGAAGACAGCACTGGGCATGCGCTACCGCGCTCTCGCGCTCCCCCGCCCCACCGCCCGCTTCCCCTCCAGGCGGGAGCCGGAAGTGCAGTCGCGTCCTCTGGGCGCCGCGGGCGGATGGACGCGCGGAGATGACGCAGGCAGCGCCGGAAGCCGCTCCCCGGTGAGATTGCGGACCGGGAGCGGCGGCCGCTGGTCCAGGTCTGTAGATGAGGCGGGGCCGGGCTGGGAAACGGGTTTTCCCGCGCCCGCGCCTTGGCTGACCTGTCCCCTCTCCGGCTGTTGGTCTTTGTGTCTCTGCAGGCGCCATGGCTGCGGAGCGGACCCGGCCGCTGCGAATCTCTGGCGGCCCGAGCGCGCCTAATCGCTGTGAGCCCGGCGCGAGATCCCGGGCCCCGGGGCGCTCGCTCAGGTCAGTGCCGCGCGGAACACGGCTCCGGGAGCTGGGGATCTAGGAGCGGCGAACGGGTCCAGGGGTCTGGAGTTGATTTTAGAGATGGAAAAATGGAGTCTCCGTAACTGCCTTCTAGTTTCTTTAGCTGCGAAATAAGTTACCAGTGATGTCTCAGGGCTGCTGTGAGTTTGAAAGATGAGGAAGTGTGGAGAGTGGTTTATGAAGTACAGAGCGCTGTGTGAATGTGAGGGACTGCGCCATAATTGTGGGTTTGCCGCGGAAACAGGTGTGTAAGTGGGGTGCTGCGTAAAACACGGGTAACGATAATAATGTGGAATGATGATAGTAACTTGACATTTCTGAAGGCTTACAGTGTGCCGGGTACTGAACTAAACGCTGACGTCTGTAATCTTAATCCAGACGAAAACCCTTGTAGGTAATGCTGTTCGTGGTTACGTTTTAGGAGTAAGGAAACTAGCCTTGAGATAGGTGAAGTGACTTACCCAGGAACAGGTGGAGGTGCAGAGCCGGTATTTTATAGACATCAATTGTATTCTTTATTTTTTCTCAGACTTACTTATTTATGCATTCAAGAACTGGGGTACAGGCCAGAGGTGCAGGGGTGAGAGAGTGAGGAGCAGAACAGGCAGGTCTACTGAAATACACTGCTGAGGGGAGCAGCGGACTGGTCAGGAGAGGTCTGCTATGCCATTTCCGGGGCGGGGATGGAACTTATGTTGCAGTAGCTTCCAAGAGCTTCAGAGTGCTGTGCCTTAACCCATTGTGCCACCAGGGAGGGCCCCCATTTGTATTCTTTCAAAGTTGTTTTTACACATCGTAAAACAAAAGGAGTTTTTTGTTGTTCTTGTTGTTTTTAAGATTTATTTATTTATGCAGACAAGAACTCAGGTACAGGCCAGTGGTAGGTGTGTGTGAGTGAAAGGATTCACCAGAGACAGAGTGGGTAACAGAAGAGGCAGACCCACTGAAACACACTGCTGAGAGGAGCAGCGTGGGAGACAGGAGAGGTCTGCCACACCATGTGGGTCAGCTCTCTGGCCGGGGATAGAACTCATACTGCAGTGACTGAGGATAGCTTCGTAGTGCTGTGCTTTAACCTGTTGTGCCACTGGCGAGGGCCCAGAACTAAGGGCGTTTTAAAAATAGGTAATATATTTACAGTGTTTTAAATTTTAAAAGGACAGATCTTGGTGGAGGAGAGGAAAATTCATGATGTTTTATCCAGAATGTTCTGTCTTTAACAAGACCCAGGGTTATGGGTTTGGTTTTGTTTGAGGTGGCAGGGTGCTTGGCAAGATGTTGAGCCTGCTACTTCTG